ACTCCTCCCCAGAGTCTGACTGGGCATAGAAAGAAAGCTACTGGTACCCTCCTCCCTGGGCTTGTGGGAACCAAGGTAAGGCAGGAGCTGTGGGGCCTCTTATTGCTGCATAGAAAGTGTGAATCCATGAAAAGACCAGCACAATCAAGGGATTAGAATGAATGGTGGAGAAAAGGGGGCAAGGAAATAAGAGCCCTGATTCTATTGTTTGAACCACTGAATCCAGCTAAAGCCAAAGGGTTTCCTAAGGGCAACCTCATTACATGGGTCTATACATTCCCTATCTATATATATAAAAGCTTAAGCAACCATTAGACTGGTAGCTATGATGCACACTGACCACCAGGGGGCAGACACTCAACACACAGGCATGGAAACATGGAACAGACTGATGAATCTCAGAGGAAAAGAGGGTGGAAAGAGATTAAACAACAATCCTGTATGCATACTAGAGGCCCAATGCACAAATTCGTGCATGAATGGGGTCCCTCAGCCTGGCCTGCGGGGATCAGCTGAAACCAGCAGTCCAACATCCCCCAAAGGGTCCTAGACTGCAAAAGGGTGCAGGCCAGGCCGAGGGACACCCCTGGTGCACAAATCCGTGCACTGTGTCTCTAGTTTCATAATAACCAGTTTGAGTTGGGGGTCTGTCTCTAACAACTGCATATGTGACTGTCCAGTTCACATGAACAGGTCTCCCTGCCTTCTCTCTTACCTCCTATATTAGTGTGCCAGGGACGCCATCACAAAGGATCTCAAAGATAGCAACAGAAAGTTACTGTCTCAAATTTCTGAAGGCTGAAGTCCAGAATCAATGTGTTGGCAGGATTGGTTCCTCTTGAGGACTGTGAAGGATAACCTGCCATGCCTCTCCTCTAGTTTCTAGTGGTTTGCAGGCAATCTTTGGCCTTCCCTGGCTTATGGAAGCATCACCCAGATGTCTGCCCTTATCATCATATGATACCCTTCATGTATGTGCGTGTATGTGTCCAAATTTCTCTTTATATAAGGACATTGGTCATACTGGATTAGGAACCCACCCTACTCGAGTATGACCTCATCTTAACTAATTACACCTGCAATGCCCTTATTTTCAAATAAGGTCATATTCTGAGGCACTGGGGGTTGGGATTTCAACATATGAATTTGTTTTTGTAAGAGACATAATTGAACCCATAACATCTCCTATCCCACTCCAGTTCCACCCAGCATCAGGGGGTGCTTATGCCCTACTTCAGACCTTCTCTCATTTTTACCTGTCTCTTGGTTCAGTGGCTGCTATTGCAGCTAACTCTGCAAGGTTCCAACCAACCTCCCACAGGTACGATTTTATGCCCCCTCACTTCATGCCCTCACAGCATGTCTTCTCGCCTCTCCCTGGAGGTGCTCTGTTCACATGGAGGTTTGTTTCACTGTCTATAAATGCACAAGTTCATGGGCAAACCTTTGAGGAGTGGAATACAAAAGCTAGTGGATGGATTCTTATTTCTTTCTCCCTCCAGACAAACTGAACTGAGATAGTTATACAAATGATAGAGTATCCAGCTGCTTTCTTAAAAGCATCCAAATTGTCTCTCTCTGCTTCTCTGTCTGATTCCCCATATCCCTCAATCTGTTCCCTGAGATTGCATTTTCTAATAAAAGAAAAGCCCACAAGCCTCTACCTCTGTTTCTGATTTTAGAAAAACCCAAGCCAATTTAGCTACACTATAATCTCTAAATGCAACATGGCAATCCCATTCCTCTGCTTAAAACTCTTCAATGTCTCCATTGGCATGAAGTTCAAATGCTCTAGCTAAAATATGGAAGATAGCTAAGAGGTAATAGTCTACCTTCTTTCATGCTACAATAGTCCAAGTCCTAGACTTTGCAATGCATCCGGTTGGATTTGAAATCTGGCTCTTTTTGAAAACTTGGGTAAAATTTTTCACCTCTCTAAGCTTCATTTCTTCACCTGCCACATCTCTGGGTTGAAAGGAGACAATGTTCACAAAGTGTCTGGCACAGAGTTTGGGACACTAAAAACATTGTAGCTAGACTTACTACATGTGAAGAATCATAAAACAAGATGCAAAGGGGGCGTTCAGGGTCACACAGTCAGCTGAGACCTGAATCCTACAAAACCAAAATGCCTGCACTTCACACACAAGAAATTGAAGTATCACTTCCCACTGATCAACCACAAAGGTTGTTCAATGCATTCACTCTACAGGTATGCAAGCCCTCTTCTGAGGGCTACATAGTGAAGAAAACAGAAGATCCCTGATTTCTGGGGTTTTCCCCCTACTGAGGGAGTAAAACACTCAAGAGGAAGGTCAGTAAATGTGTGTGAGCAGGTGTGTGCTACGTCCTATGGCATAAAGTAGGAGTGCAGAGATGGGGATCTATTATTAGAGAGTGGTTGAGGAAGTAATCATCTGATAAAGGTTCACTTAAGGTGAAGGATCAAGGGAATAAAACCAGAGTGAGAAGTACAAAGGGCTGAGGTGGGAGCAATCTCAGAGTGTTCCAGAGACAGCAGAGAGAACAGCACTGCTGAAGGGGGTGGGTGAGGGAAAGGGTGGTAGGAAGTGGGATCTGAGAAGAGAAGACAGCCAGTTGTGGACAGGGAATTTTGCTTTGAATGTCAGAAAGCCAATGATAGGCTTTGACCAAAGGGTATGGAAGGATCTGACTCAGATTTCAAAAGGTCACCCTGACTAAGAGAATAGAGAGGAGGTCACCCCAATAATCCTGGTAGAAATGGGTTGGACCAGGTGACAGGGCCAGGGGCGATAAGAAGTGGTCATTCTAAATACATTTTGAAGGCAGAGTTGTGGGTTGTGAACAAAAGGTTAACCCCAAAGACTGTGGCCCAAGTAAATGAAAAGAGAACGTGCCTTTTAATCAAAGAGGGGGACTGATGAAAAAGAGGTGGAGACGCAGATCAGGAGTCTACCTTTGAAAAGGCTGAGCTTGAGATGCTGACTGGCTGTCCAAGAGCAGGGGCTAGAGATACAAATCTGGAGACCAGGGAAAAGTCCTCCCATGCTCCGGGGATTCACAACGGGGAGCATTAGACAGTTAATCATTTGGGTGCGTGAAAAGCCAGGAGAATGGATGAGCACACCTAAGGAATGAGGACAGATAGGTCTTCATGGCTCCCTGGGGACTTGCCAATGTTCCGAGGTGAGGGAGATAAGAGTCTTGAGGAGCCTGAGAAGAAAACAGGGACGGCCATAGGTGTGGTGCCCTGATGAAGCCATAATCAGAAAGAGTTTCAAGGAGAAGGGTTTGAGTAACTGCCAACTATTGCTAATTGGTCACATAAGACAAGACTGAGAATTGACCATGGAATCTGAAAACATAGAGGTTGCTGGAAACCTTGGAATGAACTATTTGGATGAACAGGTGAATACAAAAGAGCATGGGAGGAAAGGAAGCAGGGACTTCAAGATTAGACAAGCTTTTGGAGGAATTCTGTGTAAAGCCCAGAAAACATATGATGCTGGAGTGACAGTCATGGGTAGATGAGAGGGGATGTGACCTAGTGAATAATGGAGACCTCCTCCTTAGAAGTAATTCCTCAGCAGTTTCCAGGGTACACGAAACCAGCACTAGTCAGAGTGCAAATCATTCCTGGCTCTTTGAAAATGTACATCAGCACACATCTAGAGCCTTGAAAAATGCCCATGCCTTTGACCCATTAATTCTACTTCTGAAAATCTCTCCTAAGGAAATAATTCCAAATACAGAAAAAGTCCTCTGCATCAAAGCTCATCACAGAAATCTAGGTAATAGGTCTAGAAGCATCTAAAAATGAAACAACATATGATGAGGAGGACACAGAATAGATCTAGTCACTGGTCTCTGAGCTCCATAAGGAAAAGAACAGTGTTTGTTTTATCTACCACTGTCTCCCAGCCCCTACCATGTGTCTGACATAGGTGTTAAATGAATTAATAAAAATTATTATAAGGTTAACCTAAAAAGATATAAGTACCCTAAATAATAAAAGAATAATATGTAAATTGTTCCCTCAACTAGGAGTTCTACCAGGAGTTCCAACAGGGGGTGGGGCTGGCTGGCCAACCACCTTCGGCCCCTCCCCCCAGCCAGCCCTGCCCTCAATTGGCCCTCCGCCCAATCAGGGCAGAGCAGCCGGACCCCACCCATGAACAAATTTGTGCACCGGGCCTCTAGTTATATATAACTATGCTTAAGTATTATATATAACAGTATGGCCTCAATCATGTTTTAAAAATAATAACTTAACACTAGATTAGGGGTGTCGAACTCAATCAGAGAAGGGGCCAAAATCTAAAATCCAGCCTAAATCGCAGGCCGAATTGTTTACTGAACAGTCATAAACTGTCATTGTGATGGAAACGCAGTGGAGTGCAGTGATGACAGCGCGGTGCAGGCCACATTGCAAGGCCTGGCGGGACGGATATGGCCCGCGGGCCTTGTGTTTGACACAGTGCACTAGATAAATAAAAACTAAAGAAATGGCTCCACAAAATGTAAATAATAATTATCTTTCTGTAAAGGAACATGATTTCCTCTTTCATTTTATTTTTGTGTAGTTTGCATTTTTTCATGATTGAATCTGATTTGTTTTATAATGGAAAAAACAAGCAAGGTCATTTCTTGAGAAAGGAAAAGCTAGAGTTAGATGAGTTAAGCTCGCACCATCAGGATTTGATAAGGCTTTGCACTCGTTAATGGTTCCCAGGCACTTTTTGTGGGTGAGAGTCTCCAATTGCTGCCATGATGCTCTTCAAAGATGGGCTCCTTTCACTACCAGCAGGGGCAGGTCCTTACATGGGCCAGCCAAGGCTCCTCTGGGAGCCTGAGAGATTCTGTTCAGGGGAACCAGCTTTCACTGCAGCATTTTCTAAACTCTTAATCAGCTGTCAAAAATAATATCCAGTAGGACAAAACACTTGATGATACAGTTTTAAATGAAATAGAGCAGAATACAGAGAGTTGTGTTCATAAGAATATAACTATGCAAACTGTTTGGCAAATATTTATTAAAGGAATGAAAAGACTTCAGAAGAAATATGTTCGCATACAGCCAGAGAAGAGATAACCAACCAAACCTTTTCATCAATACCCCTTTAAAGCCATATCCCCAGAACTGGAATTCCTAAAGGCCAATGCCTATCTTCAGATGCTCCAAATTCCAGGATAAATTGTTTCTTAGAGCAGAGCTTCCCAAACTTGCATGTGTGCATCACTACCTTGGAGATTTTGATAAAATGCAGATTCTGATTCAAAAGGTCTGGGGTGGGAATACCAATTCTGCATATCTAACAAGCTCTGGGTAATGCTGAGGCTGCTGGTCTTCTGAAGACACTCTGAGCGTCTAGTTCCCAGGGTGCTGAGTAGCCAGGAAATTCCAAGGCAACCATCTAGGCAGGCAGTGCCAACTGAAGCAAGGTGAAAAAGCAGAGATGACACTTAATAAGGCCTCCACCCACTACTCCAATTCCTAATGCCCAGACCTTCACCAGATGCATAGCCTGGTCTCTGGTCCTCACGCCTCTTGGCACCACTTAGAAGAGTGATGTGAAGCAAACTCCTGGCAATTTCAAGCTCCAGTTCCTTGGGGAAATTGGTCAATGACATCTTGCTGGGATGGGTCCCAAGCCTGGGCTTTGCTGGCAGGTGGTTGCTTGAAGCAGCCTGCAGCAGATGGCACAAGTTGCATCCAAGAAAGTCTCAACAATCTATCAAAAAACTGGGACAAAGTGAAGAAAGGAAAAAAATGGGAGAGTGGCCAAAACCTGGGACAAAACAAACAGTCCCAGGAAGGGAGCTGATGAGTCAAAGGGCACTTTGGGTGTTGGCTGCACAGATTCTTGCTTAGGGCCAAGCCAAAAAGACAGTCAGCTATGGCTGTTCCATCTCCTGCTGCCTGGCCCTTTGCCAGTCCCAGAAGCCTCACAGTGAGGCTCCTGAATACCCAGCCCTAGAGGCCATGATGGGTCCAGCCACTGTCTATTCTGCTGTCAGGCCCAGTCATCCCATCCAAAGTGGTCCATGAACAATTTTGACATTTCCATCTTCTGCAAGGACAAGCTATCTGGTCCACACGCAGATGAAGCCTTTGATCTGGCTTGGCATCTAAAAAACTGCTCCATGACTTCCAAGGTGAGGTATTCATCCTCATCATAGCCCTTTCTCCATTTTCCTTGGTTGGAGGAAGGGGATCCCCTACTGCTATCAGCCTGCACTCCATTAAGCCAGACTCCAAGGACTCCCTGCCCCTCCCCACTACTGAAAGCCACTGGGAGGCCCAAAGATGTGAGGAGGCTTTGGAATAATCATGACACATCACCTAGAATAAGTCAGTTCCATGGTCAGAGTGTGGAATGAAGGAGTCATGGTAGGCCTCAGCAGTGGTCGACACTGGGGAGGGTCACAGAGTCACTGAACAGCTGTCTTGTCAAGAGAAGTCCTGGGAGGCAAGGACAGGCAGATGATAACATGTGGCTGCAGCAACCTGAGCCCTTCCTGAGCTTGAGCATGACACAGGGCACCAATCCTCAGCTGAGTAGGCACTTACCATGCGAAGCTTTCTGAGCTCTGTCCCTGTGCCAGGGCCTATCTGGGGCATGGAGGATACAAGCTCTATGACAACGCAGATGTCACCCTCAAGGTCCTCACAACCTTATTAAGGGTAGATACTTACAGGCTTATTTCCATATAAGATGGCAGATGCAGTGCAAGAGGAAAAGGAAGCAATGGGATGTGAATCGTGTAATTCCTGCTGCTCAGGGCGATTTTCCTCCTTCAGAGGACTGTGAGGACGCAAGGCTACCAGAATCTGTTCTCTGTCATTGGGCATGCTAATCAGATAACAGTAACCCTACTGTCTTGCCTCCATAGAATCCTTTACCGCTTAGATCCACAAGTATCATCTCTCACAGAGGTTGGGAGCTGACCAATCCAGAGCTCTGAGTCCTTGTGCTCCTTCCCTCACCCCACAGTGACCTTGCAGTCTCATTGGTAGAGGTGGAACCCTGGGTTCCCAGACCGGACATCTGTTGCTGAGTTACCAGAATGAACCCTGCCTGCTACATGCAGACCATCTCTGGCTCTGGCATCTGCTCAAGCTGTAAGGCATACTGTGACCTGAAAAATCCAGACTCAGAAGTCCCCCAGGAACAAATAGCTGAACCAGCCGAATGTCAGGCTTCACAAGGCAAATTGATGCAAAAATGAGCTCTTGTCAGCCTACCTGGGCCCCAGAAAGCCAGTAATATGGAGTATCACCCTCAGCTTACACAAGCCCACTTAGCAAAGTCAAGGAACCTGGCATGAGCAAGGCAGGGAGAAGCTCTGGTTCTGGCTAAGTGGGGTTGGACCTGCAAGTGAGCCTCAGAGACCCTTTGGAGACTTCCGTGTGTACTGTGGACAGGGGCAGGTGCTCCAACTCCTCCGATGGGGTGCTCTTCTGGCAAGTCAGCACCAGGGCCTTGACCTCCTTTTTGAAGTTGGTGTTGAGAAAGCCATAGATGAGAGGGTTGACACAGGTGGAGGCCATGGCCAGCAGGTGGCATACCACAAAGATGAGGTTGCCGTGACAAATGGGGATGGCCTCGTGGTACCAGTCCTCCAGACTGTTGAACACATGCAGGGGCAGCCAGAGCAGGGCAAAGGCAGCCACCATTGCAGCAAGGATCCCGTTGATGCGCTTCACCTGCCACACCTGGGAGCTGTGGCTGCCCTTGCGGAACACCTGCCTCTGCTTCCGCAGGCGCCGATAGATGCGCACATAGCAGACCAGGATGAAGGCCAGCGGGATGCAGTACTGGCAGAGCAGCAGGAAGGTGGTGTAGATGATGCGGTGGTGGCTCAGTGGCCAGGACTCGATACAGACCACCTTGTCCGCCAGAAATTCCAGGGCCCTGGAATGATTCTTGTGAAAGACATTCTCCAGAACGCTGTTGGCCAGAAAAGGCAGGGAGAGGAAGCAGGCAATGAGCCAGATAACCCCAATCCCCATGTAGGCCTGAGAGACACTGGGCTTCCAGCCGGTTGGGTTGATGATGAGCTGGTGCCTCTCTAGGGCCACAAGGACAAGAGAGAGGATGGAGACTGTCACTGACATGCACTGGATGAAGGCTGACATCTTGCAAAGTGCCTCGCCAAAGACCCAGTAGTCCATGATGGTATAGATGGCCGTGAGCGGCTGGCAGATAAGGCACATGAGGAAGTCGGAGAAGGCCAGGTTGGCAATGAGCAGGTTGGTAACATTGGCTTTCTCCTTCTGCCTAATCGTCACGCATATAAGGCAGAGGTTGCCCAGGACTCCCACAATGGTCTCAATGCTGTAGGAGGTAACAATAAAGACCATCATGTCTGCCGAATCCTGGCAGTGGTCAGAGAAGTTGTACAGGATGCCCTTTGACTTACTGCTGTTTTCTCCCTGTGGGGATCCTGGGAGCAGCAAGGACGGAAAATGAGAGATATTCATGGTGCATGTGAGAAGATTCCGAGAGATTCAGTGATGACAGCTGCAAAGCAAAGAGACAAACAGTACTCAGAGATTGTGCCTCCTGTTTGAAATCCAGAGAGGAGCAGGGTTCGGGGAGAGATGTTCTCAGCTCCTTGGTCCTCAAGGCTGGGACTTAGAGGACCTAAGACTCAGGGATGTAAAGAAAATTGCCCATAGTCATACAACTAATAAGTTATGGGATCCAAATTCAAATCCAGATCTGTCTGATGCCAAAACTTGTTCCAAAAATAGTCTCTGACCTCAGTTTTGATAACAAAAAATATTTGGATTGTTGTATGCAAAGTTCAGTGAGAGAATTGCTCAGGGAGCATGAGTAGAAATCTCCTTGTCAAATTTTACCCAAATAGGAACAGTGTCAATGCCACCGTGGGCTAAGGTCCTTCCATCACATGCCATGCCCTGTAGGGCAGACCAAAACTTCTGGTGTGACACACAGCGCCCTCTTGGCCTCAGCGACTACCTTCCCTGCCAGCCTTGTTTATGGGTTGATGCATAGCAAGGGTGAAGACTGCCAGGTGTGCAAAAGCCGGGTCATCAGCACGCTGGCTCTCTCTTCCTGCCAGCATGCGTACACACCTGCCGGGCCAGGGTCATGGAACGCCCACTGCTCTCCCCAGGGGCTCCCTCCATGCCTATCTCAAGTCGCCTGAAACAGCTTGCAGTTCCCAAATACAGCAGCCTGGCCCACACCTCCATGCCCTGGCACCTGCCCTTTCTCCCTGGAGCCTCCACACTACAAGGGACCCGCTGTCAGAATGAATTGGAATTTGGACTCCAGAAGCTCCAGGTGGTGACGCCAGATGTTTTGAGATGGAGCGCCACCATATCATTGCACACACATGTGACTCACTTCCTTCTGAGTCCTCTAATCCCCACGAATCTCACAGCAGTTCTCAGCCTTCGGGGAACATCGAATCACATCGCTCTGGGGCATGGGGCAGGTGCAGATTCCAGTGTCCCTTATTGGGAGATGCAGTTGAGTGAGTCTGGAATGGGGCCCAGAAATTGTATTTTAACGAGTGGCCTGTGTGATTCTGACCCTGGGCTCCCAGCCACTGGGGCTGATGATGAGCTGATGCCTCTCTCGGGCCTCAGGACAAGCATGTGGTCCTGGGGACCCATTTCAGTAACACTGTTCACAGAGAAATACTCTCAGATATTCTTCAAGTCCCACACAATGGTCTCTTCTATTCGTGAGCAGGTATCTGTTCTCCATGATCAAGTGCTAAGTTAGAGCAGTTAGTACAGAGTAGGGGCAAAATTAACCAGATGAGTAAAATCTATTTGTCGGCCATCATAAATGTCACTCCCCGTGCATTTGGTGTGGCTTATCCAGGACAAGATCAAGGCATGAATCCCACTGACAGCCCACAGCTTATTTCTTTTTTTTTTAATATATTTTATTGATTTTTTTACAGAGAGGAAGGGAGAGAGATAGAGAACTAGATACATCGGTGAGAGAGAAACATCGACCAGCTGCCTCTTGCACACCCCCTACCGGGGATGTGCCCGCAACCAACGTACATGCCCTTGACCGAAATCAAACCTGGGACCTTTCAGTCCGCAGACCGACGCTCTACCACTGAGCCAAACCGGTTTCAGCAGCCCACAGCTTATTTCAGTTACCAAGCCTCTTTTTCTAGATTTTTCTAGCACCATAGTCATCTGGCAAAAAGAGCCATTTGGGACTGGATGTGATAAAATGAAATATACCAGGACCACGTGTAAGTCTAGTTTTAGGGTCAAAAAACAGCCTCGGCTGCCCAAACTGTGCTGGAGGCACTGCGCTGTCAGAGCAGCAAGTGGGACAAAACCCAAGGCCCAGGGCTCCACCTGGCCAAGGGCAGCACAGATCAGACTGGGAGGACCAGATGGGAGGACTTCAGCAAGCTGCCTGCTGCACTCACCCGGCCGCTCAGTAAGCACGTCCAAGCGCCATGCTACACACAGGGCTTCGAAGATGCCACAGACATTCATGCCCGGACCAGCGGACCTGACCACAGGAATGCAGACGCACCTCCAAGCCACATCGCCATCGCCCCAGCCAGTGGGACGCGACGCTTGTGCGCTCTGGACTTGGCTCCCAGGAGCTCCCGAGGTGGGAACACCCACCTGCAGCCATGGGGAGGCCTCCGCTGCGCCTGCCACCCCCTCCCCCGCACCCCACACCCACACCCCACACCCCGACCCCGTCAGAGGAAACCTGGTAAATAATGCAACTGCTAGCAAACGCTGGGGAGGGAAGAACGGAGAGAGGGACGTCTGCTTTGTTTTCTGAAATTTCAAGCAAGCAGCTCCTGTCCGCTAACGCCCGGCGCCCAGACTCTTGCCCGCAGCTTACCTCCTCTCCCGGGCCGGGCCGTTACCTCCTCTCCGGGCAGCAGGTGAAGCAGCGCCGAGGCGCGGCAGGTGCGGGCGGGGTGGCCTGGGAGCCCGGTCCCCGCAGGGCGTGGCGCGCCTCCCCGCCCCGCCGTGCGGCTCGGACCCCGCGCCCCTCCCCGGGCGTGAGGCGCCCCTGCTGGACCTCTCGAACCCTGGCCCCAGCCCCTCAACCCGCTGGACCTTCGGGGCGCGCCGCGTAGCCCCTGCCGGCCGGCCGAGGCGCCGGCTGCGTCCGGAGCGGAGCCGCCCGGCCGTCCGCCCGCCGCCCCTGCGCGCCCGCCCTCGCCTGGCAGGGCGCCGCGCTCTCCCGGCCCCGCAGCGCGGGCCTCCGCCGCTCCCCACGGAGCTCCAAGCGGTACCCCTCCCTCCCCCAGCACCGTCCCCGGCGCCGCCCTTTCTGGAACGGCAGCTCCACTTGGGCAGGTGTGGACCCACAGCATTCCCCTCTTGGGCATCACCACGGCTCCGGGAAGCGGGCGTTTTATTCCAGTTTTTCTGTTGACGCCGAGCGAGCGCCTTTCCCGGTCACCCCGCTGGCCAGCCATTCTCTGCCCCCACCCCCTCCCGCCCGGCCTGGGTCCGCGGTCTGACAAGGAGGGAAGGCATGCACTGGCTGCGACCTCCCTGGGACGTGGCTGCCGGGGTCTAACGTGCAGACCGTCTCCTGTCCACGCCCCAGCCACAGACCCGGCTCTGTGCGCAGCACGCCGCTCCCTGCTCCGCCGGCTGAGCAGCCTCCGAGGCGGCAGGCTGGCCAGGGACGTGTTTGACACCCACTCCCAGGGCACAGAGCCCTGAGCCCTGGCCCCATGGGTCAGAGCACAGCAGAGGAGCTGAGAGGGCTCTCCAGGCGGAAAAACCTGCTCTGATTCCACCCCACACCCACCTGGGAAAGTGTGGTCAGCCCATTTCACAGATGAGAAAACTGAGACTCAGAGAAATGAAGTGACTTGTCTCAGCTGCCCAACTTACAGGTGGTGGCGCTGAGACTTGAACCCAAAGTCCAAGCTCCTGCGCCCTTCCTAGAGCGGGAGGGAGCTGCTCACAGCAGACCTCCTAGTTGAACCCGCACCGCAGGCGCTCTGGGTCAGACCCTTTCTCTGCCTTTGCCGCTGCGGAAGGAAAGAGCACCCCTTGGCGGCAGCACAACCGGAGCTAGGGAAGCTCCGCAAGAAAGCCAAGCACCCCAGCAAGAAGCTGGGAAAAACTTCCGGCGCCACTGGAGCCAGGACCCACCTGGAAGGTCCTGCGGGCTGGCCAGGCGGCAGGCTGCCCTCTCCGGGAAAGGGCTCAGTAGGCTTTTCCCTGCAAATAACACTGGGGGCCTCACTTCCTGTCCCCGCGGGGATGCTCCAAGGAAACCACCTCGGAGGGAATGAGCACACTAATCCCTCAGGCATGTTTGGCCCTCAGCAGCTCTCAAGGTCAGTGTTCTCCTGGGCCCAGGAGAAAGCTGAGGGTCAGGTAAGGGGGTGGCCCCAAGCAGCCCCTGCACTGGCAATGACTGGGTTGTCACTACCTGGAGGGCCAGTGTGGTGAACAGTCACATGCTGGACTTGGTAGCCAGCTCGCCAAGTCTCTTCTGTAAACGGGAGTTAATAATAAAATCCACCTCGAGAGCTTTTATGAGAAGTGAGATGAGATGCAAACAGCTGCTGGCACGGTCCTGGCAGGAAGCGCGTCCTGGAGATCCGGCTGTTGTTATGACGCTTGTGTCGTGTGCTTGTCCGCCTCCCCTGACAGAGCAGTCCTGTCCATTCTAGTGGACACTCTGGCTGCACGGCTGGACCCACACCGCTCACCTGAATTGGTCAGCACGGTCCTTACAGGCCCGTGCTCATCCACGGTGAGCTGCTAACATCGGCCTGTCTCTCTCCTTAAGCCCTAGGGCACCTCCCCCAGGCGCCTTCCCTTCTGAGCTCTGTAATTTTAGGGCAAACCATTGCCTTTCACACGGACTCACTGGGCTCCTTTCCACTTGGGAAACTACTCATTCCTGGAGACGCAGCCCGTACAGCCAAGCTCTCTGTGAAAGGCCTCACCCTCCATTTGCTCATTGTAAGGGACACTGACAAGTTTGCCCACCACACAGACAGCTGCCCCGCTTTTCCCGCAGGACCCATGGCAATGGAAACCCGCAGCCACTCAGGAACTCACCCAGCTCCCAGCCTTGCGAAGGAGAGTCAAAGTGGCTTGGAATAAACAACAACAGTGATTGGCCTTAAAAGAAACTGAAAAAACTCAGGGCACAGGAAAGAGCTTTAAGAGATTAGGAAAGTTGTTGATTCCATAACATAAGAGCACCCTGCCAGGAAACAGGAGACCAAGGAAGCAAGAAAGGACCCTTGTGTTTAACAAGTGTTTTAGTGGATGGGATCGTAGGACAAGGTAAGGATATGTCTCAAAATATAGAGCATAAACACAAAAAGATGAAAAACGCAGGAGCAAAAATAAAAGACATAGATAATGAATGCAAATGATCTATTACCTGATTGATAAAATTTCAAGGAAGGAAGAACCATGAACATGAAAGGTAGCAGCCTAACAAGGGATAGGATTTAGCCCAGACAGTCAAATGGAGAAACGTTAATGGAAGGTGATGTCCAGGGTTAAGGGAAAACACAAGCAATGGTGAGGCGCCCAGAGACTAGAGGCAGTGGCACCTACAGCGAGGGTGGAAACGGCCATCAGAGCCAGGGAAGGCGATAGCTGCTTCTGCACTGAGGCACAGGAAGTAGGGAAGAAGCACCCGCCCTCTTCCACTTCCAGTCTCCTGTGGGCTCCTGTCACTGACCAAATGCACCTGGAGTCCCAGGCAGCAAAGGCCCATCCACATCCTGGGCAAGGAGACAGGCAGAGAGCAGTGCTGGAGAGTGGACTTGTGAGGACTGTAGACAAGGTCAGCCAGCGCAAGAAGTTCCCAACAATAAAGGAGCCATTCTCAGAGGAGGAGATTGAAAGGGCCTTCTGAATGCCATCCCAGACAGGTCACTGTAAAACTCTAGAACACCGAGGATAGAGAAAAGTCTAAAATGATCCACAATTGGCAGGGGTGCGGGGGGGTTGCATACAAAAAGTAAAGGATGAGAATTGTCAGCAAGCTAGGATGATGGAAGACTATGACATGACGGAAACGTATTTTAACACTTTATTCTCAGCTATACTATCATCCAATGTAAGTGCAGAAAAATGATATTTCCATATTTGCAAGAATTCTTTTCATGAACCCAGCACAATTGACATTAACAGTAAAAATGGAGACATGCGATGAAGCAAATGGTGAGCCATCCCAGGAGCCTGGAATTTTCTCTCTCCACCCAATAATAAACCAGCATTACTTCATCCTGGGGTTAATTTCAGAGGTCTATGACATCATCAAGACTTCAAAGATTCAGGGCTGGGTGTCTATCATATTAGATATGATAGACTCGCCTTTTAGCCTGTGGGGAAAGTTGCTGCATCCTGGAGATTATTATCCTGTGGATTATTACCCATTTCACCAGGTGTTGACTCCAATCTTAGCCACCTGTCCAGATGTGATATAGAACAACTTCGCCATTCCTGGCACTTGGTATGCACCTACTTACATGGCTCATGCTTCTTTCCCTCTCCTGCAGCTGGCTTTCACGTGGCAAGGGTAGCAGTACAAAGTCAACGTCCTCTCTCAGGCTTTATCTGTTCTCCAGCTTTCTGTCATAGTGTACAGAGACCTTAATCATCAAACATCTACAGAGAGCATGGCCCAGAATACTGATATCAGTTGCTTATTCCCCAGGAAAAACCTCCCTGGCACCCAAGGGGGTTTCCAGAAATCGATGGCACAACCTGAGCTGCCCATGGCAGAGTCGTGTGGCTCTCAGAATGATGTTGGGCATACAAGCAGCGCACTGTGACCTGGTGGAAGTGGTACAGATGAGAGTGGACTTGAGCAGCTTCTGAAGGCACGAGGAAGTTCAGGGGCCAGCCACTCAGACTCACAGCCTCTCCCTGCCCAGGGCTGCCTCTCCCTCAGCCTGCAACTGCAGACAGTACACACGCATGGACCTGGTGGCCCAGGGCCCTGGAGGGTGTGCTGGGGCCATGTAGGAGCAGGCTGCTGGCGCCTATGGTCCCTTTTAAGGGTCACCCTAAAGGACATGGGGAGAGGGGATGTTCCAGAGCCAGAACTGCCCCCTGCACACCTGCTGTCCACTCTGCCAGGATAGAGAGGTGGCAAAAAGTAGATATCTGTCTGCCAGGACTGACCAGCAGACCTGAGCAAGAATGAATGATTACTCTGACACACATTTCTGTGAAAGGGAAGGCTAAGGGACTGCCTGGCTAAAGGAATCAGACCGCCCCATTCACCTGCCTCCTTAGGCTTTTATTGTAGCAACAGCTTGAACTAAAATTAACCTCTAGATACAATCAGCAGGTTAAGTATCCTTGAGAAAGCACATGCTTCTACAAGGTTGGGTCTAAAGACTAAACAGAGATTCCACTAAAACACCCAGAGGCCTGGACTTGTTTGGGAAAGTCAAGGCAAGGACTGCTGCCTTCAGAAAGGTCCCCCACCTTTCGGAGAATCCTTCTGACAGATTTTCCAACCAAGTCCCATGCGTCCCCACATCCCCCCCTTCCCCCCCCCCCCCCCCGTTTTGTTTGGCTTGCTGGAGAAGACTGGGGGAGGCAGCGGACTTTCTGCTTTGGAAGGTCGGGGTCACTGCATGTACAAGCGAGTTCTGGTTTTGTAGATTATAAGAAAAATAAAGAGAATTGCAGTGACAGCAATGGTTAGTCCGATCAGTTACCAATTTATTCGGGGAACCCATGTGGTGGGGACTATCTATTCCAAATGCTCCTTTACTGTATTCTAAGCGGTAGTCTGTTTTCCATGTTTATTGATGGCAAGTAAGGACTCTGATTTGCCTTTGCACATGTTTACTTCTTCAGTAAAGTTAGCATGAAGGACTCCCCACAGATGCTTTTTAACATCGATCCACTGATGGTGACTACTGCTCCGTTTTAAAGGGGTGACACGTATGTACTTATGTCCCCAATCACAACTAAGCACT